TCTTCTTAATGCACCCCAGGATCCCATTGGCCTTCTTGGCTATGAGGGCAACTGCTGCCTCATGGTCAACTTGTTGTCCACCATGACACCCAAGTCTTTCTCTGCAGAGCTGCCCTCCAGAAGGTTGGTCCCCAGCCTTGCCTGAAATTACTGAAACATGATCTACAACAGAAAACTGAATAGATCTAACAATTCTGTTTTCATCTTCTTGATCTATTAAAATGAAAACAGGAAGAGACGATGGCAAACTTCTTCCCTTTCACATAGGAAAAATGAAGTCTTCTCCACAACCTTTTCCTATGACATTCTCCAGACATTAAGATCACACGTGTGACTTTAACAACATTTATCAAGGAGATGGAATACACATGAGGTAATCCATAACTCAGATACCTTTCAAATGTTTGCCCTCTACACTTGCAGACCCTTAGATGTTTTCCATGTGTATGGCCAAGGTTGCCATATGTTAAATACAACAAGGATCAGTGTTTGGACAAATGGTTGCTTCACGTGTACAGTCCAACTTCTGCAGTATAACCGCTTCAACAATAACCAACAAGTCTAAAGTAAAGTTGCAAGTCAAGTTGCAAGCTTAAGTAGAGACAAAATTAGGGCTGTAAGTACAGGAATGCACGTATGGTACATTTGCTACCCTCAGTGAACTCAAAAGCCTGACAAACAAGCTGGGTATAAATTCTTTGCCAAAAACATTGCCAAAACAATGCTGAGGTACTGACACTCTAGACGGGGGAATACTAGCACCGAAGGGCAGAATAAAGAAACACAAGGAAAGCAAGGAACTATTCTGCTAGTGACAGAGAGCTGACTCCTTTTGAGACGCAAGGTGTAGTGCATTCAGACAGTGCAGGGCAAGCAAGTAATAAGGGTAAGTGAAAAAGCTGACACATGTATTTGAATGGATGTTCTTAAGTGACATCATCTTTTCTGTAAGACTCACTTTTTAGTATTGAAAATACAGTTAATTCATAGTTTTGAAAATCCTACCTCTTCACACTGTTTTGCACTACTATTCTAGCATTTATGGGAGATCCTATCTCTGCAGTCTCTATTTACCACAGTTTTATTTTCAGATCACAGGAAAGCACTTGTGGCTGCAGACTTGTGGCTGCAAAGGGCATATTTACTTAATTAGAAAAATGTTGTGGAGGAATCAAAGCAAAAACACACAATTATCCATAAATGTGCAAGTTACATGAGCTATTTTATTTTCACATGCTGACCTTCTATCAAAAATATATTACACTATTTCATCCGGTTTGCTTTAGCCTAGTAACTTGTATTTGACCTTAGACTTTATCCTCATTTTTTATCCTTGTCTTGGGCTGAAATCTCCAGGAGATAGAGTACATCCTTCTCTTTAGTAATTTAATTAAATTCTACCTTGAACTCCAGCAATTGATTCTTTTTATGCCTGTTTCTATTAGGTGAAAGGTTCCAATCTGTCTTACTGAAAACAGTTTCTTTTAGTCTGAAGCTTTGTAATAGGCTGATCAGACCAGATCCCGAAAGATGGATCAATAAATGTTCCTTCAAACACCTTGTAGCAAACAGTTTTTATGCTCACCTTCCTCATAGGCCTCATCATGATCTTGCAGCTGCTCCATGCTTTCCAGATTACTCACCGAACCACGCAGCCTTTGTAGGTAACTTGGTTTTTGGATGGAAAAAGCTTCAGAGACTGCATATTCAGACGCCTGCTCCACTCTCTTTAAATTAAGGAAAATAATTTTAAGGGGTGATATATATTTATCTTCAAACCTCCTGTATCCAGGTTTCTCCTCAAGAGATACCAAACATCAAAGGGAACTTAACCCAAAACAGTATCATTCTTTGGAAACACATTTCAGCTATTGCTCTTAAGGGAAATTTGACTTAGAAACGTTTAAGTAATAAGCATCCATTTGGCAGTTAGTGCCAAACTAGAGTGACCATACTTCAGCAGAACTCCCCTTGGTGACAAGGTGTTCTGGGAGGCTGGGTGAGGAGGCAGACACACTCCTACTACAGGACACAGGGTAAGTTCACCACCAAATCCTTTATCCTTGCTTTTAGGTGATTACAGATCCAGGAGAAGATGCTTTAGGGGAGGTGTCTCACGTTGCATATGACCTGCAGCACTGCTCACCAGAAAGCTTTACCTCTTACCACGAGTTACACGCAGGATGTTTAACTTGGGGGTGAGTTACTGTAAACACTACGTCACCTTGATCCAGTGCTCCACATTGCCAGAGCCAAATTTTGGCTGCAAACGAGATTAAAAAGAGAGAGAGAAAAAAGAGGCGTCTAAGGCACCGACAACGCCGAGCTTGCGGCCGTTGCTGCAGCGCCGCCTGCTGTTGCAATTGAAACCCAACGGCCGGTGCGCGAGGAACGGGGCAAGCACGGCGCACGCGCAGCCCGTGGCCACGTCCAGGCCCCGCCGGCGCGGGCGCGCCCTGATTGGGCAGTGGCGT